TTCATCCAAATGCAGTTTATACTAGCAGATTATTAAATTTTACAAACCTTCCCCAACCTGTGAATTCCAATAAAGTATCAATTATTGGTAATAATGGTAATTATTAACATTCAATCATTGATTATTTTCATTTTTATTAATTTTTAAAATTAACAATATTATCATATTTATAGTTTCTCATCTAATGGATATAAATATTTAGATTAATTTGATTATTTATATTTAATAATGATATTATATAAAGCTAATAATTTCCCGCAAGTATCATATCCTCCCATGCAAGTGCTCAAACATTTTTTAATTTATACGTATTAGTTGATCGTCGTAATCATGTATTAATAACAACAATTGTAATAATCGAAATTGTTTTAAATATGGCTCTAGTGAGCAACTTTCTAGAGAGTGCGTACATCATAATTAAGATAAACTTCAAAAAATCAAAAATTAAAAACACTTATTTAAAATTTTTATTAATTATATCAATGAATTTAGCATATTTAATATATTTTTTTTATATAATAATAATAATTATCAATTATTGTTCCAACTCTTAATTATTACAATAATTAGCAAGATGTTCAGACGATCCACATTTAAAACATCTTTTTGTTCCATGACCTTCAAATCGATTATTATTATCTCTATACCGATCTCTTGGTATTTGTTGTTTATGTGGTGGTGAGTCAGTGCAATATCGAGAAAGATGTTCTGGAGACCCACATTTGAAGCAGCATCTTTTATTAAATAGGCTATTATTATTATTATATAATTTACCAAAGCTATTATTTTCTCCATCACGACTATCTCTGTGACGGTCTCTTCCTCCTCCTACAAATGTCGGTGTTTGTTGTTGTTGCGAATCTTCTGAATTGTGAGTACAATACTGAGCAATATGCCTAGAAGATCCACATTTGAAACATTCTTTATTGAATAGGCTATTATTGTTGTTATTATCGTTAGGATCATCTCTTGCGAATGCTGGTGATTGTTGTGATGGTGATGGTGGTGATGGTGAGTTTTCATTATGAGCACATTTGCGAGTAGTATGATCGAGAGATCCGCATTTGGAGCATCGTTTGTTTAACGAATCAAACAATCTACCAAAAGTAACGTCTTCATTGTTATTGCGTCCTCCATTTGGTTTTTGTGGCTCTTGTAAGTCTACTCCGCCACGACGAGTACAATAACGAGTATGATGATCATGGGATCCACATGTATAACATTTTATTCCAAAGAATCTACCAAAAGCATTGTTATATTCATTGTTATTATGACCATATCCGTAATGGTCTCCTTCTCCTACGAAATCTAGTTGTTGTTGCCGTTGTGAATCTTTTCCTTCGCGAGTACGAGTACAGCTACGAGTATTATGATCGGTGGATCCGTATTTGAAACATTTTATATGTGATGATCTATTATTATTGTGATTATTTTCATTATCAAAATTACGTTCATGTATATCATTATTAGGTTGATTATCATCACTACGATTTTCATTTTTGCAGAACCTAGTGCTGTGTTCAATTGATCCACAATTTTTACACCTATTATTTAATATAGGCTTTGGTTGAGTGCATTCACGAGTGAGATGACCTCGTTGCCTACAATTAAAACAAATTGGAGCAGAAAAATCATCAACTAATTGTCCAGCATCTGCCAACCAATCGAAATTTTCTTGTTCACTCTGTGCTCTAATACCAGCAGATCGCGGAAGGGTATGTGGCGGGATCATTATCAAAGATGCAACATATTTCTTTCCTTTGTTTCCCTGAAGATCGGCTATACATTTGGTTAAAGGAATTCCTTCTCTTTCAATTGCTATCATTCTACAATTACTCTTTACGTTTTTTAATTTCATTTCAATAGATTGAAAAGTCTCGTGGGGTGCTGCCTTGGTATATATTTCAAAAGCTTCATTGACTTCTTCAAGATCTTTTTTCGCGTCTGCAGCTAACAATTTATCCCAAGCCATTTTTGCTTTTTTTTCGTTTTCTGGACATTCAAAAGATGAATGACCTACTTGTTTACAATTGCCACAAAAATTTTCTTGACTACTCTTTCTTCTGACATCTTGACCATAGTTATAATTATAGTTTCTTTTGGTGCTGTCAGAACTACATCTTCTATTGTTATCACCTTGACTGTAGTTATTATTATAGTTTCTATCAGAACTACCTCTTCTATTGTTATCATCTTGACTATAGTTGTTATTATAGTTTCTTTTGGTGCTGTCAGAATTATTTATTCTATTGTGATCATCTTGATGGTAATTATTACTATTGGTTCTATCAGAATTACTTCTTCTATTGTGATCATCTTGTCGATAATTATTACCATTGTTTCTTTTGGTGGTATCAGAATTACTTCTTCTATTGTTATCACCTTGACTATAATTATTATTATAGTTTCTTTTAGTGCTATCAGATCTATTACTTCTATTTTTTGCGCCCCAATAACCTTCATCATTTTTATTATCTAGATTGTTATCACTTGTATTTTTAAGCTCTGATTCAAATTCGGCAGCAATTTTCAACCAATAATCTCCACCGTTTTGATAATTCGAGCCCCAACCATGATTATCTAGGCTCGTCGGAGATTCGATATGAATAGAGGTATTGGCGAAATTGGCATCATCATCATCTAAATTATTGTTACTTGTATTTTTAAACTCGGGTTCAAATTCAGCAGCAGTTTTCGACAAATCACCACCATTTTGATCATTCGAGCCCCAACCATGATTATCTAGGCTCGTCGGAGATTCGATAGGAATAGAGTTGCTGGAGAACTTGGCATCATCATCATCTAAATTACTATCACTTGTATTTTTAAACTCGGGTTCCAATCCAGCACTAGTTTTCAACAAATCACCCTCG